GTCTCCATTTGACAACCATGACCTTAAACTTTCTGATGGCTGGAGTTACCAGGAGCCTCGAGATAATTTTTTCGGTAGGGGCAAAGAAATAGGTTTCAGCAGTTCCAAAAGCAACAGGCCAAACCGTTTTTTAACCAGCATTACTGCTTAATTAGTGACAAAATTACTAATTTCTGGATTTGGTGAAAGAAGAAACAGAGTAGGAATCTTACATCTGCCCTGTTCTGAATCTTGTTATCTGTGGACACACCATTTGCTTAAAAAGACTTACACTATTATTCCTAATATCTAAAAGGATAAAAGGAACAGCAGTCAAACACCTTACTATACGTGCAAGAGCCACTGATGGCTGATTGACAGCAATCATGGACAATAAATACTGTAAAGTAATGTTAATATTTAATCCAAAGAGCTGATGTATTGCAGTAACTAATTTTACAACATTTTAAAATATGCAAACTACTTCTAGTCCCTCCATAAAGTTCAGATTTGTTGGACAGTTAATGACAGGAGACAAGAAGTATTTTTACAGGCTTGTGTTTTCCACAGCTCAAATTCTAGACGTTTTTACTGGTACACACAAGTTGTACGTGTCTATTCTTTCCACTGCCTACTAGTGTGTTGCAACTTCAAATCATGTTCTGGCTTATTCAGATTTGTGCTTGCTTGATCCATCTTCCACAAACCAATGAATTATTTTTAATTATAGTGAATAGATGACCCAGTGCCTCTCTCACACTGATTAATGGCACAGGATATATAATAATAGCCATCTGCAGATCACTGTTTTATTGGATGCCCGAGGAGCCAGCAAAGATTACGTCTTTTCATTTTTTTGTCTGCATTACAAAAAGTTTTGTTTTTTTCTTCACTAGATTTTTAAGAAAAACATGCAAAAACAAGAGGAAGAACTTAATTACCAACAACCACTAACACTGATACCAGAGCAAATTAATGAAACCAAATCATCTAGATTTGATTTTGTTACTGGGTTGCTTTTTCTTTTTTTGGACAATGCATCACAGCTGAGTCTTATTTGGCCTTCAAGGTACCTTCTTGGTAAACTGTGTAGTGGGCAAACACATACTGGAACAAACTAATTTTTAATAGATTATTAGAAGATTAAGTAAATATAGCTAGAACTTATTGATAAGTCATTAACCTTGAATAGACATCATTTCAGTTATTGATTTAACCTATGCTTTACGTGGAAGAAAAGGACATTTTCTGCCATGCAGTAAATTAATTTTCTGAGGAACAAGGAGCAATAGCCTATCACAAACAGAAAACTGATTCATCAGAAGTGGCCAACAAGTTTTGATGAACACTGCAGGATCATGTGAATCATAAAAGCATCTTCCACTGATGGTATCAAACCTGCTATTAGACCTAACAGCAGGAACATATCATAGAATGATATAACAGCTTGAGTTGGAAGGGATTTTTAAAAGTCACCTAGTTCCAATCCCTCCTACAATAAGCAAGGCCATGTTCAAGTAGATCAGGCTGCTGAGAGCCCTGTCCAGCCTATCTTGGATGTTTCCAGAGATGGGCACCCATAAGTTCTCTGGGAACCTCTTCCATCCAGTGTTTCACTACCCTCATTGTAACGTATTTCTTACTAACACCTAACCTAAAACTATCTGCTTTCAGTTAAAACCATTGACCCTTGTTCTGTCACTATAAGCCCTGATAAAAAGTCTGTCCCCATCTTTCTTATATTTTTATCATACATATTTTATACTTTTATCTCTAAGTACTGAAAAGACATAATAAGGTCTTCCTGGAGCCTTCTCCAGGTGGAACAACCCCAGCTCTCTCAGCCTGCCTTCATAGGAGAAGTGCTCCAGCCCTCTGATCATCCTTCATGACCTCCTCTGGACCTGCTCCAACAGGTCCATGTCCTTCCTATGCTGGGGCCCCACAGCTAAATGCAGCACTCCAAGTGGGCTCTCACCAGAGCACAGCAGAGGGGCAGAATCACCTCCTTCGACCTGCTGGTCACTCTGTCTTTGGAGTGAGGATGTGGTTTTCTGGGCTAGAATCACACACTGCTGGCTCATGTTCACCAACCCAGGTGCACTTGGTCTTGCTGAACCTCATAAGGTTTGCAGAGGCCCACTTCTCAAGCTTGTTCAGGTCCCTCTGGGTTTTAGAAACTGTTCAGAGCACACTAAATTCTGACCTGAAGCTTCATTGCTTATTGCAAGTCCTGCCAGCTCTCTTTCTGTTTTTCATTATTTTATAGTGATTTTTTTTTTTTATTATTTGTTTTTTTTTAGATCAGTTAAAATACCTGCAAGTGGACATGGCTGTATTAATTACACTGAATGGAAGAAACAAATAATGAATACAATTTCTTCAAATACTGTATTACTAAAAATTATAAACTAAAAGCTAAACTAAAATTTAAATAAATATTTAAAATAAATTCAGTAAGAAGCAGGTGATACAGCTGACCAGGTAAGTTATTTAGGTAGCAGTTAACGAACAGCCATTTAAAAGAAATCCACAGGTCAATTTAAAAGTCTCACAAAGCATTATAGCTTGAAAGAAATGTTGCCTGTATTAGCCAAACCGGCATTATAACTCTAGAAGTCCCTATATGTTATGATTACAGGTGACAGAAATTAGCCGCCAGAGGGAGCCCACGTAATCTAGTCCAAAAGACACCAATGTACAAAGGGAAAATTTAGATAGGCAGGTCAAAGTTTAAGAAAATAATTGCCTATATCTAGAAAACTTTACTGAAACTTTTTATAGTACACGCAATAAAACAGTCCTCTTCAGTACTTCATTTCAGATTAATTCTTATTTTTATAGATATAAGGAAAAGCAAGTGAACTCTACTATGAAGAACTGCAACTAAAGCTAGAATATACTGAAGTAAATCAACATACTTTGTTATGCATTACCTTTTTAGTTTACTTTGTTCTCAAAATTCAGTATTTCAGAAAGCAGCTCATCATCTATCTTGGTATAGTAGCCCATAAACAGTATGGGAGAAGGCCTACATAGTCCTAAGGGGTTTTTATGCATTTTCCTCAAACAGATTTAGGACTGGAATCTTAAGCAACAGTTAAGTATGTAAGACATCTTTTTTACATTTGTTTTGTATGCCAAGTCAGTAGAATTTTTACATTGAATATTTAGATTTATCTGAGAAGGCATCTCTTTCTCCAGTCTAATTAACAAATATATCATGCACAAGAACTTCCAACATTTGGTGCACAAGGTACCTTTCCATTAAGAACAATCCTCAAAGGCAGAATATTTTTAATCAAGAAAAAGCAGACCTTATGACACTGAATGCTTCCACTTCATTCTTCGATGGCTGATACCTCACTTTGACTTCCAAATCTTTGTAACTGTCAAAGCTGCATGATTATAACTTGATACACAAATATAATAGAAACAGTAACCATAATTAACATCACTGGCAGTTGGGCAGTTGGTGTTTCTAGTCTTTGACACTTCACAACTTCTTGTGAATTTGTATTCTTATACTGCTGAATTTGCATGTGCTTTCCCTCTGCACTGTGACTGCTTTAGAAAGTTGGTATCAATAAAATAATTTAACACTGAAAATTCAGAATGCATACATCTCCAGACTAAACATGCTATCTTTCCTTAGAATACTTTGCTTATAAAAGGAAGAAATGTAATTTGCCAAAACTTTTATTTGGCCCCAGAGAATACAAATGCCTTTCGAAGAACTCCTTAAAGCAGCAAGTGGGTACAGACCATGTATAACTTCTCCCATTAAAAAGTGAAGTATTAACCTTTCGTGCTATTATTGGGTTTTCTAGCAAAAAAACCTACCGTCACAACATGGATGACTTGAAGTACAGAGTGCTCTAGCATACATTAAGAAGTGTCTTTGTAACCCAGGTAATCAGAATCGTAAATGCAAGATGGAGATCCCTAGTGACTGACAGCTCACGATAGCTAGTCTAAACACAGGCAAACCCACTAAATTTCCAGATTTCAGACTCATGTAACTTCAATCTGTTAAGTTCATACTTTTTCTTCGTTTATTGAAAAATTGCAAAATACGCAGGAAAGATTTGAAAATTGTTCCATATACCGTCTGATCTGGGGGAATCACAGAGAGAATATGAAACAATGTTATATTAAAAACACCTAACAGATACCTAATAGTAATATTTTATAATTCAATACAAATTCTTAAGATCTACTGTGTTATGCACATGCTTGGTCTCAAAAAGACATTTGTGTTTCTATACTGGAGGAGAGAGATGCTAGTCAGGACTCTCAGTGCTGAAGAAAACAGAAAACAATACTACCGAATTCCTGTATTCATACACCTAGCGACTGCGTATTCATGCCCAAATACTAAACATTCTTCCTATAATGGTAGAAAAACAGTACTGTGAGATGGTTTTTTTTAAGGAACTCCTATACACCACACCCAACAAACAGTAAATTCAGCAAGCACTAGTCAGTTTGCTGCTTAGTGAAGAAACAATCTATATACAATTTATTCAACTGGACAGTTTTGTAAACTAATCAAATAAACTGATGCAACTCTTACAAAAATTTGATAAGCAGCTTTATAGACATCTGTTCTGAATATAAATTTTTTTATAAATCTATATTTGAGTTCTGAAATATAATTTATGCAGAAACACACAGAAAACAACAATAGTTTGTGCAAGGAACTTCGTTTCTTGACAAATTTCACTGATGTACTAAGGAACAACATAGTTGAAAAGTTTCCTTGAAGATCAACATAGAGGAACTCGGACCTAAAAAAAATGCCATGCTTTATGAACACAAATACTACACATACAATTTCAATTTCTCAGAATTCACTAGTTTTGATATAAAATTATTCATAGAACTTGATAACACATGATTTTGTCTAAGTACCTTAAAAATACAGCACACTAACAAACAGGGGTTTGACCTTTTATTAAGAGTGGAAACCTAAAGTTTTAAAATTAACATTTCCTACTCTGTTATTTTTAATCTCTTACCAGGTCTTTCCTTGCCAGTTCCTTTTGACTCAGCAAATTTCTGGATCAAACTCTCAACTGTAGTATTTGTCATGTTAATGATAAACTCTTCATGCACCTTCAGAAAAACCACACCACACACAAAAGGAATTAAAAAAAACAGTAATTGAAGAAATGTAAGTAAGAAGTAGTTTTCTCTAGAGCTGGAGTTCAAAATACTTGCCTCTAAAATATATTACAGAGCTTCGAGAAATGAAGAGGCATTTCAGTATTAGCAAGTGTTTGTACAATGCAGATACAAATTAAGAATGAAAGAATAGAGTTTGATGAAGGGTCTAGAATTTACTTCAGTTTCCTCCATCTAAAATGACTTGTGTGCATAACTTTCTGAATTTGTCAGCAACATGACCCATTACAATGTCAGCAAGACAAGTAGTCTCCTAAGCCAGTACAAGTTAAGGGCGTGAACTCCTACTACTGTATTATCACAACTCCCACCTGCTTGAGTGAAAGCGTTACTGTTGTAACGTTTTTGGTATGACAAAGGAACAACCACCTACTCTTAAGAAGCTTTTCCAACAACACTATATGTATATGCTTTAGAAATAAATAGTATGACCCTTGTGACCACTATTCACTAGCAGAAAACCTCTAAACTGACAAATATAATGACTCTAACAGCATGCAAATAAAAACTCCATTTCAAAACATCCAAAAATTAAGAACTATTTCTAAGGATTATTAATTAAACCAACTAAAGAAATAACAAAATCTTCTATTACTGACAAAAACCTGGAAACTTCAGACTGATAGTTTCAAGTTTTAAACAAAGAATAGCACAATTATGTGTGAAATGAGTGCTAATATAATACCTAGAGAACAGAACTTTGAAAGATCCTAAAAATTCTTCATATTGTCAAAATATTTTGTTCTGTTGAGACTAAATTTTTTTAGGCTTATTCTGTAAATTCTGTGATGCTAAACTTATAAATGCAATGGGAAGCCATACAGATTTGACCTTATGTTCAATTTACCATCATTTGAAAGCTGTGATCTTGTAATTACCATAAACACAGTAAGAAATCTTCCACTTAATAGTTAAAAAAAATATATAGCATAAAAAAAACCCCAAAAACATTTTACCTCTCCTATTTGTAAATGAACTTCTTTTATGGTGTTTGACAATGATTCTATAATCTCTTTCATACGAAGAAGATGTGTTTCCTCAATGTCTTGAAATTTCTGTAAACAAATACAAGAAACTGTAATGAAATCATACTGAAAAGATTTCTTGAAAGACTAAACCTTAAATTTTAATAAGTACACATAATTAAGAATTACATAATTAAGGAAAAAAACAAAACCAAACCAACCAAACTAAAAAACCTCAAAACAAGCAAAAATACCCTCCCACCCCCAAAAAACCCACCCATTTATTTTCTTGTTTGCTTGCTTGCTTGGTTTTGATTTGGGTAATTACAATGTTAATGAAAGAAAGGTGCAGAATTCAGTTATGAAATAATGTACATTAAATTACAATATATTCTTTTAGAATCACTACAAATTTTTTTACTTGCTCTTTAAATTTTCATGTATCTTCAGTATTTCTACCAAATAGTGTTAGAAAGTGTTAAAAAAAAACAAACCCAAACCCTCTTTTCTCCATTACTGAAGCTTCGTTTTTCCATCTAAACCCAGAAATCTTATTTCTTAATCTGTTTTGCACTTCCTTCTTAGCACTCTCTCCTTCTGGTCAAAATATACACATGCTTTCTCTTTTTCTAGCTAAACCTATATCCTTTGATTCTTCAATCATGATTAATTTCTTTGATCTTTAAACTCACTGCATTATAATCTTTCAGGTTTGCTCCACTTTACACTTCCAGGTAACAGCCATTTTAAAAGCACTTCCAATGTTTTTAATGACCCTTCCCTAGCCAGAGATCAGAATGTTCCACCCTCCCCAACAATCAACCATAATTGTCTTGAAATATTTGTTCACTCCTGCTCTTACGTCTCTTCCTATTTCTGTAACTGTCCTTTCAAGTGCGTCCAAACTTTAGAGCACCACTTAATCCTCTCTTCAATTTGTACAAGGTTCTCTGAAGATCATACCTTCACATTTCACACCTCCTGCTACTCTGATTCCCAAAAACATCTCCATACAGACAAGTATCTAACTTCTAAAAATCTCAGTTTTTCTTTTGCCATACTGATATAACTCTGCAGCCATCAATCAGATTTTACTTTTTTTTTTCCAGCAGCCTTACTCTTTAATTACAAAGGATATGGTCATCCTCTGTAGCGTACTCTATGACATTACTTCTTGTATTCGTTGCCTTATTATATAAACTACATTATCTGCTTTCAAAACTATCTATGTCCCATCTCTACAGTCACTTGCTATCAGGGTGTCAACACACGTGCACAATGTGTCCTTCCAATGCGTGCCTTTTTCCACTACCTAATTTTAACCTAAACACAAAGTCAACTTTTGAAATTATGCCAATGTTTCCCTCATGTTTGGTTTGAGATCCCCGTAAAACTCCGCAAAACAAAGGTACCAGTCTCCTTTAAACTCTGCTCTACAATGACTATCAAAAAGTTTGCCATTTAGAGACTTTTTTTTTTTTTTTAACTCAGTGGAAAGCATTCCCCTCCTCCAATTGTTTCCTTGTTTTTTTATTGTTTTATACATAAGATGTGAAGCCTTTGAAGTAGAGCTCTCTTGGCCTTGTACAGTACATAATACAAAGAGGTTCTGATCAAAGAATAAAGCTAGGTACTATGATACAACCACATAGTTCATATCACAGACATAATCATTAACCAACTTGTTTACTTTCCGTTTTGAAAGATCAGTCCATTTTTAAAAGATTTACTGAAATGAATCTGTAATGTTAATGACCCAACAATTGCAAGCCACTTTTTAGCATTTTAAGCTAAAATAATGATGAAAAATCACTAGACAGGATCATTAGCTGTCCAACTTGGTATACAGAGTTTAAGAAAAACATTACTCCTTTTTATAAACATGTATTTTCCTGTAAGTTTTAATTTTTTTTTTAAAATGAACTATTATTCATTCCTGAACATTATTTATATGCAGGCTGCTCAAACGCAAAATCAACGCAACTCTACTCAGTTCTAACTTTGAAATAATAATTTAGCACTTTCAGCTATTTCATGGGTTCCAATAATTAACTGTGCTGTGCAGTCAAAAATAATAATAAAAAAAAAAGCTTCTCACAAGGTAAAAATCTGGCAAATAAGACATCATGTTGTACTATGAAATCGCTATGCAATTGCTAAAAAACCAGCTTTACTCAGAAAAATCAATGAGGAATTTCTATTAAATCCCATTTCTAAACAACAGTGAACTGTATTTTCCTGCTTCTTTAATCAAAATGAAACCTTCCGTGTTTATCACAGCAAAAACCGTAACTTGCAATTCAAGATTAGAAAGACTCTATGTTTTAAAATTCAGCCTCTCAAAATCACGTATCACAAGTCACTTTGATAACTGCAGGTAAAATGACAAAAGAGGAAAAACAGGTAAAAAAACCTCAGTGGAGTCTGACTAAGAAAAAAGTACAGCTAAGTGAGTACGTTACTCACGTTACTACATTAGTAATGTAGGTAATTACATTATTACATTAGTACCTTGAATACCACAGCAATTAAAAATGTTTATCCTCAGAAAAATAGTATGCAAACAGTATAAAATATATTTAAGCTAAGACAACTGATTTTGCACTGAAACAGTTGAGAATGCTTACACTCCCCATTGACTGTTTTCCAAATGAATATATTTCAAGTGAAATGTACTCTAAATTAAGATAATACAGGGTGTGCTTCATATAAAAGTAGGCTTCCACATATTCGTACATGTTATTTTTCCTATCAGGTCATCTTTAAAGTAGGTCTTCTGCACCCAAATTGTAGATGCAGCTACACTACTACACTAAAAACAAATTTCCAAAATATGACATACTGGCAGAATGCCAGTATTTCTAGAGTGGTCATGTGTCCAGGTGTCTATTATCACATAAAGTGAGAATATCACATAAAGGAGAATTTCCAGGTGTCTATTATCACATAAAGTAAAAATTTAAATATTAATCAAAAAGGTAGTTGCTATTAAGAAACCAAGGACATTTAAACAAGTGTGGTTTGTGGTGAGAGGTAACTTTGTACCATTTTTGTATTGGGGAAAAAAAACTGAATGAACCAAATGATCCTAAATCTCCAGCCCTCCCACCCCCAAACACAGAAATACAAAGCAGCCCAAAATCATGGTGAGATTTTCCCAGCTGTAACATCCCTTATCGCAAAAATGTGTGGTGGAAGGTTTTTTTGTTCCCCCACCTCTCTACATCTCAGCCTGGTTTAGACATGCAATACCTACCCAATAATACAAATAAAGATTAACAAAGAGCATCTTCATATTCTGTCTCTAAATACAAAAATAAGCTGTCAGTTTTCTCATTCTTTTGTTGTAGTGGATTATTTAAATGGAATTTTTTTAGTACATGATGAAAAGCCCAACAAAATTGCTTGCTGAAAGCCCTTACATTTTTCTTCACTAATTCACTGATGATAAAATCCATTTCATGTTTACCTTCTGTCAATTTTAAAGAACTCGTTTTCATTATTCACAACATTTTTACTCACTGGGGACAAGTTTTTAAAGCAGTTTAGCAAAGCTGGCTTATTGAAGTCATACTTAAGCTTTTTCTTATTGTTTCAGAGAGTAACAAGACAATTACTATAAACATAGTCTCTTTCTTGTAAGGTAAGGAATGGGCAGCATGAAGTTTTTGTGAGACTAAATAAAGATTTAAATGAACCTGCCCGAACTTGCTGTGCAGTGGATTAAAAGCATTCACAAGATCTGTTTTGGTGGGGGGTTCAGTAACTTCCAAAGCAAGCTAAATAACAAACAGGGTATGAACTTCTTGATCCAGAAAAGCCACATTTGCATACGATTTGAGACAAATAAATGGAACAGTTCGGTATTTTTTTCCGGTATTACTTGATTGTTTTGTAGCAGAAGGTGAGGTCTACAGCAAAAAGTCAGGGAGCATTGCAATTTATACAAAACCACACAAAAATGGAGTTACTGGAATGCTTACTAAGGAAATATAATAATTACATTAACAGGAACAGTATAAAAAAGTTACCATTTTGAGTAGCAGCAGTATGTGTCCCATGCCTGTCTCCCCAGGAGTAATGGTACACTTCAATGATTCTTTTGTTACCCTTTTATTATACTTGTTTCCAAGAACTGTATTAAGATACATACTAGTTTAAAGTTTAAAAAGGTTGCCTAGTCCCAAAATTCTCAAACGATTGTAATCACGCATACCAATTCCGATCCTTATCCCACTCAAATTGCCTGGGGATAACTGATATGCAAATATTTTAAGTTACAGTAAGGGACATACAATGCTAAGGCAACAGATGTAAATGTGTATGGTGGACATACATGCAAGTGAGCCCAGGCCAGTGTCGCATGTTAAACCAGTTTAAACTAGCTTGGTACCACACTGACTGCCTTTGTGCCAGCAAAAATGCTTATGTGATCTCTTAACAAACCAGCCTGTAGGTCTCTTCTGGTTTAAAGTTTTAGCTGGATTAGTTCTACAACGTACTCCTTGCACAATTACTTGACAAAGGAAGAAGCATGTACTTCTCCATCTCTGATGTGTGAAGCTGTGTTTTCAACATATGTTTCAAGTTAGCTTGCTGCCAAAATTATCAGTTGTCCTATTTCCACGTGTCCTGGGTTCAGCTGAGAAGTACAACAGGGCATGGGTACAGACCAGTACCCATGAATTTTCTTGTTGAAAGAAAGGAGAGAAACATAATGTACATAATCAAATTTAACTCAGTATAAAGCATAGGGAGCACAGCTTCTTCAATGAGAACCAAGTCAGGATGTGCACAAAAACATGCTTTTTGCAACTGTTCATGGAAAGGTTGTCAAGATTCCTAAAGTAACAGTTGTGTTACAATCAGAATTTTGCAGTAGAGCACTTCTTTGTTGCAAATGCCTGGACTGGGCAGTGGGAGGGAAAAGTTCTGGTATGTGATATATGTGGTATCCTTTCTCTAACAGCTGTGTTGAGTATCTATTTGGAGATTAACTAGATCAAATTCTAATGAAGGTCTCAAAGTAATAAAGTAGTTTACAGTGGAGGACAGGCAAGCTTTTTACATGTCAGCCTACACATCTCCAAGCTGTGAAATCTCAGTTTCTAAGGAGTTACTGAAAACCCTAACACTTTCCCACTTAAATGTTAAAAACATGAGTATGAATGAATCTCCCCAATAATTCCATCTCCACCTGAAAATTAATCTTTGACACTAATGGAAAGATCAAAAGAATTTTCAGACAAAAAGAAAGTTCCTACCTTGTAAAAGCTTTACTAAACCAAGAACTAAAAATAAATATGCCAAACAGTTCTCAACTATTACTACTAAAAACAGAAATGATAAAGTTTCCTTTTTGAAATCTGGAGCAGTGGTAAAAAGTCTGTTATCAACAGATTTGAAAAAGAAACTTTACAACATAACAAGAAGCAGCATATGCAATGATACAGAGAACTTGGTATCCTCTGGAACACAGACTAAAAGTCTTCAAAAAGCCAAACAAACCCCAGAAATTTGAACAGATGCAAGTGCTTTTCACAATCTCAAGTAAACCCAAGGAAGACATTCTAACAAGCTGTAACTGAAGTGTTTTGCTGGAAGGACACTAAGAAATCCATGATGGATCCCAATATTAGAACACTTAAGTGATACAAGACTTCCCACATAATCAAGTATGCAGGTGCATCAATGCACCTACAACACTTCCAGAAGTTCACTTTGTTGTCTTCCCAAAAATTTCTTAAAAAAAAAAATAATTAAAATCTAAGTATTCAATTGTGTCATTCAAGGAGAGTGCCATCACAACATACACAGTCAATGTCTACCTTCAAATGTATTACTTCTAATGTTATTGTTCATATTGGTTTCCAAAGGAGATCATTCTATCTTGAATCAATTTTTCAAAAGCTTTGATATCAAGGGGTCAGACATAAAATAGCATCTGTTATTTTAAAAGTAACTCATTTAACATAGCACTTACCTGTGCAGTTTCTGTCATTTTTTGTTCAAAATCAGATTTAAATGCAGCATATTTCTCCACATACAGTTTATAGGTATCTGTAGCTTTTTTTGATTTAACTGCTGCCTGCAGATCAGTGCAAAAAAAGTGTCAAATGTCACACATATAATCTGATCCAAGGTTTTTAAAGACACCATTAAAAGAAAGCCTAGGGTGATCTACAAGGGGCATATCAAAACAGTGAAATGTTGTAACAAAATTTCACCACCAAATAACTCAGATTCAAGCCATTATAGATTTCTATTCAAGCTATACATAAACCACATAAAACGGTAACAAGGCAACTACCTGATTTAAATCACCTCCCCTTATCAGAAATAATGAATTTATAGTATACTTATTTTGAAATCAAAACTGTACTGCTGACGTTAACTAACTAGTTCTTTTCAAGTATTTAGATCTGCAACAGAAAACAGGAAGAAAGCCAGACCAGAATACAGAGCAGAGTTATTTGTGGAATTCTGAGAGAGTCAGTGGTTAAAAAAAATAAATAAATAAAAAATCAGGAAGGCACAGTTCTCTTAAAAATACACCCAGAATAACAGAGCCTGAAAGTGCTTCACTGTTTGAAGAATATGGATCCTTCAGGCATTAAAAAAGGAGAGCATGACAGGTTGTATTACTCCCATCAGTTACTTTTCCTGAATTTTACTTCATGATTCTCACTCTTGCGCATTCACACAAGGGAATTACTGAGAAGAAAACAGTCATAATTAGTTTCCCAAATGCCATTTAGTATGCTGAAATTACAAGGCGTTCTCTGAACACCTGTTTTTAAAAAATAATTAAAATAATTGAATCTGTTTTACAATAAAATGATTCCAACCTTAAACATTAAAAAGGAAGGAAATGACCAGTTAAAAGACTTCAAAAGTAAGTTTCTTCATAAACCATTACTTAACCCCAAATGCATGGATTTTGAAAAAAAAAAAAAACCAAAAAAAAATTCTGTCTCTTATGATGTTTAAGATAAGCAAAATGTGAGTGTTATGTGCTGAAGAGCATCTACAAAAAACAACTACACAGCAGACCAGACAAAATGATGAAACACATGAACATTGTATGATTAACTACTAATCTCTTCTGAAAGCAGGATGTGTTTATTCTCAATTGGATGCAGCAATTGCTAGAACTCTAGCAATTTACTGTAAGAGAACATAAGGATCAGTCAACAATTTTTTGTCAAGTCACTATAAATAGAGAAGTTCACATGTAAAAGAACAACAGGAAATTATTACAGGTTAACACTACCTTTCCGTTGCAATGAAAATTGCAAGGACTCAGATACCTCCTCAGATTCTTCAATGAAGTATTTCACTACATATTTCGCCTTATGATCAGCTCTTAGCATATCGGTGCAGATTCCCTGCTTTTTGATAATTATTCTGTTATTTTGATAAAAAAATTAACAAATCTATTCTCTGCCAAAGTTACAATAAATGAATACAAACTTTGCCACCACATTTCTGAAATTACAAGTGTAAATCTGAATTGAAAGATTCAGATTGAAAGAGGTGACGGTCATGGTTACTTGCTCCCGCTGGAAACATTGGTCAAGTACTTTCAGAACATTCAAATATGGACTAATCGTTCACACTAGGGAAGACATAATATAGAAAAAAATGGCCTTCACCCACCAGTGCTTCCTCTTTCTCCCTTCTCACACAGACATCAGACTGAAACTTTTTTTTTATCCAGCTGAATAAGGATAATGTTAGATCTTAATAACATGCCTGCCATCAAGTCAACTTTTCCTACTGAAAACTTTCATTCTATTTACAAGAATTCAGAAAAATTATACTTCGAACATACTGGCAGGAAAACTTCTGCCAACCCACATATTTCTGATTCATGTCTAGAATCCAACATTGACTGTCACTGGAGACAGAAGCTAGAAAAAAAATAATCTAGCTTTACATCAAAAATAAAACAATCGGAACATGGTCAACAAGATCACTTTTTTTATCAGTGAAGACAATAAACAGCTCTATCTGGTCCTTCAAGATAGGATTATAAAAGGCACCACGATCATTCTCACATGAACAGAGTCCTACAAAAATCATGTAATTGAAATGGGAACAGGCAGAGGCACCAAGATTTAAAATGAGAAGACACAGAGACAGGGAAACATGACCTATTTCCTCTACTAGTCTCCTGGAAATAGGAAAGGTCAAGGGAAGTGATCCTTCCCTTCTACTCTGCACTGGTGAGGCCACACCTGGAGTACTGTGTCCAGTTCTGGGTGGTCCATTGCAAGAAAGGCATGGACATACTTGAGAATGTTCAGTAAAAGGCCGCTAAGATGATAAAGAGGCTAGAGCACCCCTCCTATGAAGAAGGCTGAGACAGCTGGAACTGTTCAGGCTGGAGAAGGGAAGGCTCACAGGGGATCTTATCAGTAGAACAAAGAACCGAGGGTACATAGAAGACAGAGACTGGCTTTTTTCAGTGACAGGACCAGAGGCAATGGGCACAAACAGAAACACAGAAGGTTCCCTCTGAACATCAGGAAACATTTTTTTCCTGTGAGGGTGAGTGAGCAATGGAATAGGTTGCCCAGAGGGGTGGTAAACTCTCCATTCTTGAAGATACTCAAAAGTCATCTGGATGTGGGCAACTGGCTGTAGGTGGCCCTGCTTGAGCAGCAGGGTTGGACCAGAGGTGCCTTCCAACCTCGAACAATTTTGTGATTCTGTGAATAGATCAAATTCCCTGATAAGCCAGCACAGCACTAAATACAACAGTAAGATACTCATCCTTAGGTTTCTAGCCCATGAAATTGGAATCTTTTAAATTAGCACCGGAAGCAATGTTAATTTGGTTTTCTTCTTAATGGGACAGACTTCAGATACTGTATAATTAGCTACTATGTCTCACTGAAGGGAGAACATCCCTCTACTCTTTAATTCAATAAGAAGAGGACTGAGTACTTCCATATTTACCCAAGGAAATTTATCCAAAACCATAACAGATGCTGAAACAATTACACACAACTTCTGTAAAAGCCAATAAACAAAATTACCATATGATGCAGTTATATACAAAATAATTAAAACTGCAGAGCAGTTTGAACAGATAAGGAACTGTGAAAAAAACGAAACATCATGCACATTATAAAATAGCCACAACTACTACTTTTAACTATTTTCAGCCCTCTGTGAGCTAATATGAGGTAGTGAATGTGTTACTGATTGACAACACAATGAATTAAATTAAGATGCCACAGCACTACCTTATCAACTTCTCTCTGTGTTGCTCCTTCCTTTTTCAAACGTTCATGTTCAACACACTTGGCATTGTAGTTCTCCTTTGATTTCTGTAAGGCCTGAGTGATACTTTGAATATTTTGCACTGCTTCCAGTGTTCCTGAAACGTCTTCTTTAGTCTGCCAAATATCACATGGTTGTCAAAATCAAACCATTTTAACGTTAACAAGTCATTGGACATGCATAAGAAAAAACTAATAACCTTTTTATAAGCTTTGATTTGTTCATCACCATATTTGTGAACTTCTTTTATTAGCTCTTGTAATCTCCGCACAAGATCCAAGTGGCAGCTTGCTAGTTTTTCTGTTGAAGTTTTGAAAACATCCCAAACCGGTGCAAATGTCCTAGATTGAAAAAATATGAAATATATTTTTTTTTAATAGTGGTAAAGTATAATTGATAAGTTTCCACAAGTTCACGTCTGCTCCTAAACCAGAAACAAACAAAACCCCTAACAACTGCTATAAAACCTTATTTCATGTTTCAGATGTACTTAGAATCTTACCTACTGATTTTTTCCATGTTTAAAACTTTAAAGCACTGATGTTCAAACTAACATCAGTGATACTGATAGATAACCTCTGAAGAGCAGCAACAACTGGTATCAAATTATCCACTGACAAAAGCTGCCCACAATTCTAGCTGCTATGGCTACAAATAAAAAAATCTTATCTAAGAAGTCCGAGTTCTTATTGGTATAATCTTTCTAATGAAAAAACACTCACTAATCATTCCAGTTTTTAAAAACATGACCCCATGGGTAAGACTTTCATTAAACTGTGGAATAAATCTATTGAGAAGTCTCATTCTCAGTATCTTTGAGGACAGAAATAACTCTCCAGAAAGCAGAAATAATAGAAATAAATAAATTTACTGCCACATTTGCAGACCATACGTTCTCTCTATCATAGGCTTGGAAGGATAGAACAGAAAGTCATGTCCTTTATTATGCTGAAAGGAACTCAACCTTTGACAGAGAAACAGTTCCTCCATGTTTGGGCTTTGTTGGTTTTTGTTTTGAACTCTGAATAAAGAACTGCACTCTTTGTTGTGTATATAGTTATACAATACTTGCATGGTTACTGAAGAACTAACAAATATTGTTAAAGGTGGTAAGGTTGTACTACCTTCAACTTCATTAATAAAATACTCAGAATCAAACTTGATTGATAACATGTATGCAGTTATTTATTTATCTCTTATGTACACCTACTCACCCAAGCTGTGTGTAATTGCTTGCTGATTTGGCTAGTTTTGCCATTGACCTTGAATATGCCTCTTCTATTGTAGCTCTGTCAAAGAAAAACATTAAAAGCATAATCAAAATTTTGAAGATATTTGAAGACAGATAAATATGTATCATAAAGGTGCAAAACAAAGGACTTTTTACTTAATGACCCCTCAAAAACTATATACAAAATCAGAAGTATATTAAAATAAAAAGAAATCTAAGAACCCAGTGATAAAATATTGCAGGGAACAGAAACAAGTAAAACCCAGGAACTCAAGACTTGAAAAAGATGATTCCTTCCTTCCTATACTCTTTGCTCTTCCTCTCTGCCTTTAACACTATTTAGTAACAGTCAGAATAAAGTGACATAACAATTAACTGCCTAGCACTGTTTAAACACCAGAGATACACAGAACAACAAAATCAAATACATTTGTAACTAAAACATTTACATAAACAAACAATTTAAATAAACAAACTGAATGGTTTTTTGTTTACTAAAGTTCTTTGCATAAAGGTATTTGAGTCTGTAAAACTGAAATTAACATGCAGTATAAAATACTGTGTTCTACTGTTTATATTAATTTTTAAAGAGGGTTGTCTCAATACATTCCAATCTATTCTGGAAAACCTCTTCCTCCATAAAGTTTTATGATATTTTCCTGCACTCAAACCCACAATTTTACTTGTCTCTTTGCAGATTCAAAATCCAAAGATCAGCATATATGTCTTCCTTAGAACCTCTGCTGGGGCAAGCACCACGGAATAGCAGTCACACACAAAGTGCTACAGGAGTGACTCCCTGCAAGTTCTTCCCCCATCAATCTTGCTTATTCTGCTATTGCTGAAGTAAAGACACACACTTTTTTAATTTTCTATCCTTAATCAACATTCAATATGTAGTGTCAACTTAGATTTAGAAGCATCCTGGATTTGAACGAATACTGTAATTGCTTTTTCCTGAAAATGCAAAAGCTTGCAGCAGTTTCTTTCCTGCTATGCAATTACTCTATTTGAGGGAAAAAGAGAGAGGAAAAGAAAGGGAGATTAAGAATTCATGCCTTTCTCAAGTTCTAACTTGACCACTTATGGCTAAGGCAGGAGTTTTTATTTTTCCTTCACAGCAACATTTTGCAACCAAAAAGAGTTTTCTCATGAAAATATGAAACAAAGCAGCAGTAGTCACCTGAAGCAGAAGGAGATGTATTTAAACCTACTGAAATTTGAAAATAACTATCCAGTCAGTTGGACAATCAACTTGGAGATTAAACTGTAAAATGCAGCAACTGAATTACATTTTAAAGGTCATCTACAAATAACTGTGAAGTTATTTGCCACAAAAAAGTCAATTAACTTTATCCTCCTTCTATATTTGTATATATTTTAATAATAAGTTCAAGTTTCCAAGATTTGGAATTCTTGCTCACTACATAGGAACTCACATATATGCACAGACACCCAGAAGACACAGTGATTTTTTTTAATTATTATGATGAAAAATGTATTTTGGTTAATTATCAGTAACTTCTATCAATGTGTTCTACATTTCAAAGGTCTGTGCTTCGCCATCCCCCATTTAGTTAAATGGCACTATATATGCATTGACAGTTTCTTCTGATCAAGGACATTCTTTCTATGACACTTTCAGATGAGTGGTGCGGAAAAACATTTGAAAAACCTGTGGAGAAAAGCCAACACAATACCTATTAACTTCCCACCTGTGAAGAGTGGTTTCTTACACGTAAAGAATTGTTTGCGTGTATTTAACACCTCAAAGTAGTTGACAGTATTAAGACACTAACTTCCCAGTATTTAAATAAATATAACAATAAAAGGGGGCAGCCCAGACTTCTTATATTTTCTATAGCTGTTAAAAAAAACAAACCTACATGCTTTATCAAGAACATAACAAAGATACCTATCTTACAGCAGATAACATGCTCCATTCAAGACTTACCAATACTGAGCAGATTGTCTGCCACAAAATTCACTCTTTCAGACAACATATTTCTGAACCACAGACGCAACCGTCTCAGTTCTTTTAGTACTTGACCATTAAGAGATACTCAAAATGAAAAGTGAAACAACACTGTTGAAAATTGAATTGGTATCAACTAAATGGACACAGCCAAGAAGGAAAACTTCTGCTCCTTCTAAGGATATCCAGTTGGAACCGCAGATATACTATAGAAATAATATATTATTACAAACACATTTCAAACTTTTTTTTTTTAGATGGAAAATTCTGCAATTTCAGACGGTTCTTACAGAAGATTTGAAAGAAAAATATTTAAAAAAATTCTCAGGCTGACTATAATAAAGTTTTCCCACATTCTATGCAGTTTTTCTGTTTTCATTACTATTTCTAAGGCTGGAGAAAAGAGAACAATAGACTTTTCCCCAAATAGGCTGCACACAACCAAAACACTACTCTCAACACTGCAAGTGACAGAGACTGGCTTCATACAGACATGTGTCTTTTGTGCCCTATGCAATCTGCACATCCAGATACACTCCACCACCTTCCCTTTCTCTCTCAGATTGCTCCACAAAAAAAAAAACCAGATTCTGTGCCTTGTCTGGAGATCCAGCAATCCTGACCAACCAGGTGACTACTGTCAAACAGTACATAAAAGATTGAGCACTCTAACTTGTTGAAAGTATTATCACCCACTCAGACCTGTCTCTACCTATCCAGCAGTTTTCAGTTTTCACTCAGGGCAAGCCACTTTTAAGGAACAACACTGAAGCCTTGTCAAATAAATTAAAATTTAGCACCAAGAGTCTAGTGAATTTCAGTCTGTTAATGAGAAATGAAATTTTCCACATATTTTACCAAAAATGCTGTTAAAAGGCTGCATCTATCTTTGGCACATCCTATTCGTGCACAAGAACAGAAAAGAAATTTCTTGATCTCTCACTGAGGATAACGTGCCCATATGGATCCTCATGTCTTTAGTCTTGAGTATCTTTCGTCTTAAATGTTATTTAAACTTGTTTAGCTGGTGAAAAATAAAGGTCTCATTTACAAACCACTAGAATTACTTAGCAGAAACTTCAGCTAAAACACTTTTAATATGTGGGGAAAGGTCTAAATATTTTATATATTGATTGCAAAGGCACATCTCATTTAAAATTTCATTTGGAAAAAATTACAGAGTGAAAAAAACCTAGAATACCACATTATTTTTTGCTAGGAATTTTGTGTAGAATTAACTGTTAAGTTTTATTTATTCACTATAATCAAGCAAAGAATCCAAGCCAGATATAGCATCATAATGTGCTCTCTGGAATCAGGAATTCTTGAAACACAAAATTCCTTGTGTTGTGTAGTCCTTCTAACAGAAGACTGTCCATCACACATGCACTCGAACTCACCTGTTTCTGGCTTAGTTGAAAGATTTGTCATTTTCTCCAATTCACTTTGAAACTGTGCAAATGTCAGTGCAACAGAGTACCTGTTGTGGTTGTTAAATTTTGTGGAAACTTAAAATAAACTCTCTTAAGATCTATTTGAGACCAAAACTAAAATTTGATGAAAAATTCCAGGAAAAAAAAGCTGGTTTGTGGGACAGCTTTTACTGCAAGAAACCTTCACTGAAATAGGTCTTCAATCAGTCTCTTGCAAGACCTCTCCTTGTGTCATCTGGTGAGAGTAACTGAATTAAGACAAAATTCTGAAGCAGACATACAACTGATTTTGTCCAGAATGAAAATTGTTTTGTTCAATGTAGCAGCAAGAGCAGTCTTCTTCCACAAAACAACTAAACCCAGCACTAAGTCATCTGTTTTGGAAGTTGTGACATTTGCAGATTTTGGTTCTGTCTTTTCAATCCCATAGAGAAGAACTTGTATTATTTTCTGCATATTATTTTCTTGTCCCTGTGTATCACTCCTTTTTCTTTCAAAAACGTAGTTTCTCATCATCTTACAGTATAATTTTTAAGATCATACTAGCACTTGCTAACACCTTTATTTTACATCTACAGACAGAAACTGCTAAAAAGCCTGCTAAAGTCTGCCTCTTTGAATTACAGCTTTTCTTCCAAACATGAAGAAAACTTGGGATTCATTTAAATAAAGTGTTGGACACCTATGTGACAATTCTAGGCTTTTACTTGGTTTTTAATTCAAACCTGAAAAATCAGAAGTTTGTTATTAATTGATCCGTAAGAGTCACTGTTCAGTTCAAAGTGAATGTAATAAACCTACATATTCTTATAGGATGTAAGACATATTTTAAAATGCTCATTGATTTTTATGTATTTTGCATGTTACTGCTAAATATGATAATAAACTTAGATAAAAAACAAAACCAGCATATTAAAGAGCCAAGATTACCAAGGATGAATGCTCACCTTTCTCTTATAAAGTCTGCTAAGTCTTTTGTTGACAAATGTCCATGTTTCATGTTGTGATAGAGGACATCAAAGCCATTGTTCCTTTCCCCCTAAAGATAAATAAAAAGGAAGTATAACTAAGAAACACAACATGCCAAAGCAATTACAAAACAAAATATAGAAGCTATGCACTTCAATAATTGATCAACTTATATGACCTGAGTGATTTCTAATGCTTCACCACTTTACCAGATGCCATTAGTTCACTTCAATCCTCTATATGTAAAACAAAATAAAACCATCTCAGCAGCTACCACTACCCTTTCAGTGACAACTCTTCTACTACATATTTCTAGGCTATATTCAAACCCATTTCTTTTTTAGATTTCTACAGTTCTTGTATTCTTCAACTTCCCATGTTATTTAACACATACTAAATATTGTACTCTCTCTTCATTCTGTCATATCTTTCATTATTTTCCATCAATTAGTATTCATACTTTGAGATCACTGGATATCCCACTTCCCCAGTTCCTCACACTTCATGTATCATCTTCTGTTTTTCGAAAATTGGTCAAAAAAAAAAACAAAACAGAAAACCCAACAACAAAAACCCCCCAAAATAATCTCATCCTTCTCACAAGTATCTTCCCTTTGTGCATTCTTGAGGCCAGTTTTAAAACAAGTATTTTTCAGTAAGGTGTGCCTCACCATTAAAACGGAGACATTGCCCTCATCACTGATAAATTCAGCCATCTTATCACCTCTGGCACTGTGGTGAACTTCTTCCAGGCATAAGAAACCAACAATAGAAATTAAAGGAAAGCAAGGCATGGCACAGCACACAGCACTGCTCCTAGAAAAGTCTTCCTGTCAAGCTATCCATTTCCCTCCACCTAGCTGCTACAAAAAACACAGAAGCATGCCCTCAGGAAAACTGCATGCATGTTCAGAGTACAAGGGAAAGAAGAGGGAATAGGATAGAATAGTTCAGTGGAAGGAACCTACAATGGTCATCTAGTCCGACTGCCTGACCACCTCAGGGCAGACCAAAAGTTAAAGCATGTTGTTAAGGGCATTGTCCAAATGCCCATTAAACGCTTGACAGGCTTTAGGCATCAACCACCTCTCTAGGAAGCCTGTTCCAGTGTTTGATCATCTTCCTGGTAAACAAATGCTCCCTAATGTGCAGCCTAAACTTCCTCCTGCCACTGGATCTCAGGAGAAGAGCTCAGCACCTCTCTCCACTTGCCCTCCGCAGGAAACTGCAAAGATCAATGAGGTTACCCCTCAGCCTCCCTTCTCCAAACTAGACAAGATCAGAGCCCTCAGCCATTCCTCACAGAACATATCTTCCAGCCCTTTCACCAGCTTTGTTGCCTTCCTCTGGATGCACGCAAGGACCTTCACATACTTCTTAAAATCCTGGACTTCTCACAGGAGCAGTTCTACACCTCCAGTGAGAGAAGCCTGAGAATTTGCTCACACACCCCTCGAAGTATTTCTGTCCTTTCTTTTCCAGAAAAATTTGTGCAGCCATGAGGTGTACCTGATTAGAGAAATTATACAGCTGAAAAATAAAGCTGTATAAGAAAGGCAAATAAGAACAAAGATCGGTGATCCAGATCACTATGAGGACACAAACAGCTGCATTGCTTAGCAGAAGAGGTGGGAGCAAAGAGCAGGCGGCAGGCAGTGATATGCCAGTTTATTTAAGTGGAAGCAGCCATGGGTGGACAGAAGAACTTCGTAGGAGCCACAGTAGCAGGCACACTTCTTTGAAGTGTTAACAGCACTAGATAATACAACAGCCAATAATACAGCAAGTTGCCTTAAAAGGCACCATGCACAGACACATGAATTTACAAATAACAGATAATGGAAGGCAATCTGATTCACATTACTAGCCAAGATTAATCGTTTTACTTCTTTCAAGCATCAGGGAACACAAACCCAAACAAGCAAAAAGAAAAAACACCTATAAAATCACAGTTCCTAAGGCTGCAGCAAATTCTAACCTGAAAAAGTTCATCAAAATGCAGATCAGTTTGGCATAAATGCAATTACAGAAAGGTCTCCTAAAACTACAAGCAGAACTAAATTGAATACATGAAAGTACAGCAAACTAAGAGGACCGCCTACTGAACAAATCTTTTATAAATTAGAAAAATAGAAGGATAAGAACACCAATCAGTAAGAAATGTAATTTTTTTTAATGTTGTCTTACACTTTCAAGAACCAGTTTAAACAGTTTAATTCCCATCTATTTTTCCTTGTAGTCTGAAACCCACAATAATTTTACCCATTGGTGCACTAATAAGTAGCTTATTATCTTCCTGTATTTATTCCGTATAAAACCTGAATGCCACCACATTACAAAAACACCAGGATAATCTGTAATTAAGACTTCACTAATATTTTCAATAAGAATACTGAATAAAAAAAAAGTTCCTATTTAACTACTCCAAAGTTCTTACAGGACCGAAATTTGGAGATAAACATTTACAAGTATTAGGTTCTTCTTCCAGATAACTAATAGAACTCTCCTTTAAGAAATGTTCTTTCCCTTCAGGTGCTTCTTCTAGCTAAATCAACACATCTATCAAAATGTGCTGAACACAGATTGCTTCTGAACTTTTCATAATGGGAGCTTTAATGAGGACTTTTCTATACCAGAGCTCCATAAATTTCCTGTCACTTTAGAAACACAGGAAGAGCAGCATAGCATGACCCAGCCTCTGGCTGCTGCCTTCCTGATAGCTGATAATCTGTCAGAAATGTAACTTTGCAGACCTTTGGAGAATGAAATGAGCCAGAACAACGAATTCCCATTGTGACCTTGTTCCCTATCTGTAACTGAAGGTTACTGAAAATGAACTAGAAAACTTAAATTAAGTGGAAAAATTAATCAGCCCTACTCTTCTTCCTGACTTCACACTGAAAAGCAGAAAGCACAACAGAAAAACAGAACAAATACTTTTCTCAATTAAAAAAAAGTCCCCTGAAAGCCACATCTTTTATACATTTTCAGTAGTTATCAGAGGCTAAGAGGCCATGTAAGAAAAATATTTAGGTTTAAGCAAAACAGCAAGTCCAAAGCAGGCTCTGAGATTGGAGGGCCTATATGGTTTAAGCCTGGCAGAAGTAAAAGGCATTTTTTCACTTGTGAATATATTGTCAAATGTAGCTTCTCTTACCAATATCAGGCTCTACCTATAAGAACAAATATCTAGACTTCAAAACCGTTCAATAATTTACATGATCAAGAGTTCTGATGATTAACCTGATTTGAATTCTATAAATTATGTTATTTTCTACTTGTGTTTGGATACGTATGCATATTCATGTCAAATTAAGTACGAAATCTCAGTGCAGAGAGCAGACGTTTTTCTTCTTAGGAAAGCTGTATGTTCTGTCCACAACCCCTTCATTCAATAGTTACGTTCCTGAAGAGTAGCTCAAAAAGTTCATGTAATAAGCTCCAAAGTTAAGGCTCTGTATTTAGGATAAACACAGAAATGTATGCTGCGGCTAAGAGAAAAAGTAGCTCAATTTACAAAATAAGTATGTATTCTCTTATATACACATAGGCCATCAACACTATTTTATTTGTGTTTTGATTGCTTTTCCTCTACACTGCCCCTCCCCCACACATTGTATAAAATTCTATACATGGAAATTGTGTGTCAAGCCAATTTTTCTTCATGAAGTGTTTTTACCTGCTCCTTCCTGGTGGCAACAGTAACAACTGGGATCACTAAAAGCCCAGTACCAGCCCACTCAAAAACAAATAAATGCTGCATGTGGCAGAGGGAATTGATAAGACCTTCCACTCCAATTCAGAAGCACTGCTATGACAGATAGTGAAGTCAGATGCAGATTCTTCTAGAAGTTGCATCTTTGAGAAAGTGGAACCTCTGTTGTGATGCGTAACATCAGGTTCTATGCAAAAGACTTCCAGGTAAGCTTGAAAGGCTATTATGAATGTCATTTTGCAGGTAAAACACTGTTAAGGATGATCCTGTTACCACTCCACAGAAAAAAACCTGTAAAACTGTGCAGGAGAACGCGAAACATAAGTGGTCACGTCTCCAGATAGGCTCAATTTAATTACTTAAGCTCATTAGCAGTTTTCTCCTTTTGCCCTAAAGCTAACAAAACTCTCTCTTCAGAAGCTGGTGTTCTTGCTGAGTTTTCCCATTTTGTACTGCCATAAGAGAGATATTTTGTCTATGACCCTGACAGCAAGTCATAAGAGGAAACAGGACTTCAAATACAAGTAAACACTTCACTAAATAACTCTATAGTGAGGCATTACTGGCCAACCTTGAATACAAAATAAAATCACAGAAAGCATGGGCAGACAGTCCATTTCCCTTCATAAGAACTAACTGCAATGATCTCCTCATGGAAATGAAAGTAACAATGTCAGCAAATGTGAAGTCAGAATTCAGCATTTCCATGACTTGTGCATAACAGGAAGCAGATTACAGGAACCCTGTTTCATTGAGCTACTTAACAGACCTTGAAAAATCTTAAAAATAAATTTGTGTGTTGTATATAGAGATGATTCTGAATTTAAAGGCTACATTTGGTAAAGTAGCAACTTCCAGGCAATCAGAAGGAGTACGTACTTCCTATGTTTCTGCCAAAATGTATGAGTGCCAGCTCTGTCACTTTGAACTAAAACCATTCAAAATTTGTGTCTAACAGTGTAAAAAGTGAATAGCCTCTATTATAGCAGTGCCTTTTTACCCAGTATAAACAAATGTTTCTCAATTTTAAAGTGATTCTAAAGTTCCCATTATTGGTCAGATATGTACTACTTGTTTCAAGAGCATTAGAAGCAAGAAAAGGACAGCTGCAAATACTGTTTTCACAGCAAAATTAAGTATATGACACAATAAAAGGCACACGCAGATCTTAATACATTCTTGTTTTGGTCAAATGTTTAAGTTTGATGAAAGAAGTTTGATGTTGTCTAAATTCAGCAAGTAAAGAAACATTGACAATAAGTGAATTACTGGCATTTCAAACTATGCTTTTAGAATACGTATTAGCAGTGGTTAAGCATGCACAAGCATTCCTTCAACCCTTTAAACATGACCATATCACCTACCAAACCACAACTTTTTCTCCAGGAAACAGGCAGACGTATATTCAAACTGAAGTATTTGGAAGTGGTACTGCAACTTAATCACAGGGTTTCTTTTTAATTATAAGAAAATTTAGGTTCCTAATTTACTTCAAATTGTCATAAAATGAAAACTGGAAAATCTCCAAATTAAATTTCCAAATCCTAGTTAAACCTCAGAACTACCTTTGGCAAACATGATGTATCAATGAAATATGACCAACACCCCTCCCATCTGGTTAGATAAATGCTAAATAGAAAAGCCTAGAAAATAATAAATGTGGGAGATCAAATTGCTTAAATTTTTTGCATAAGAATAGAAAAAAACTGTATCCTTTGCCTCTTGTTTTGGTCAGGTCCAGAGAAGTTGTCCTATAGCTAGTTTTACCCTTTAATTACTGTTGCAGCAATATGCCAGGTAATAACTGTAGACAATCCATCAAGGTGAGCCAGGGGAGCACAATTTCCTCATACAGGTAAGATTCAGTATTTGCTGAAACTAGGTATAACTGTTCAGCAACTGCAAGATTTATGCAGCTTGAAAGATACCCTATTTTAACAATTAATGCACAGATATTAGTGCAACAGAACAAGAAGAGACTGTTCATTCCTGCAACTCTAAAAATGTAAGTTCCAAATATTAACCAAAACAAATCCTCACAAACTTAGGAAGATGTGCACTCTTCGTTATGGCTTGTCCATCTGTACTGTCAACATCTTTTCATTCACTCAAGAGAACAGCACTTTAAAGAAATGAAGCACTAGGAATTCTCCTAAATCCAGGGATGCTGGTCATCGTTTAAGCCCAGCTGCTAACTTAGCACCACACAACCACTTGCTCACCCCTTTCTTCCCTTCAACCTTCCCACCTCCCACCTCCAGGCAGGATGAGGAGGAGAATCGAAAGAATGTAAACCCCATGGGTTGAGATAAGAACAGCCCAGTAACTGAAGTATAATATAAACCCACTACTATTAATAATAATGATAAGGGAAATAACAAGGGGAGAGATATAAAACTAAAAGGTGAAAGGAATAAAAAAATCAATAAACACAAGCACAATACAATTTCCCCACCTATCAACTGATACCAGCAGCGAACTGGGCCTTCCGGGTGACACTCCCATTTATATACTGGGCATGATGTGCTGTGGTATGGAACACTCCTTTGGCTAGTTTGGGTCAGGTGTCCTGTGTCTGCTGCCTCCTGGCTTAACATGTCCCTCCTTACTGGCAGAGCATGAGAGACTGAAAAGTTCTTGATCAGGGTAAGCATTGCCTAGCAACAACTAAAATATTGGTGTGTTACCAGCACTGTTCTCAGACTAAAGCTGAAACACAGCACTGCACCAGCTACTAGGAAGGAGAAAAATTACGGTTACAGGTGAAACCAAGACAGATGTATAAACTCATTTTCAATGCTCTGAAAAACATTCTTTGTACTGCTGTTCTGTAATGCAGTTTCAAATAAACAGCATGTGCTTCATCCATTCCACTTAGGCAATTATTTAATTTTATGGGCCCATACCCATGAAAGTACTTCTGTGATTAATATTATATTGTTATATTTTTGAAAGCTAGCTATTACTAAATTTCAATTTCCGTGTGTCTGAAAGAGCTACTGAATATTGAGAGTATTGAAACATGGGAAAATACAGTCACCTAATGTTTACACAGTATCTTCTTCAGTACTGGAAGTTTTGCAATTTTTGAACACAAAAGAATGCAGCAATTTCAATTTCCTTCTTCCAGCTTCAATAAATTAAACAAATATCAGCTCCAGGAAAGCTGTACATATATGAAGGGCACATATTTTCCTCTATGTCTAGATAATTAAAAATATTTTTTGAACATAAAGATGGAAAGTCGCCAACTCATGCTAGATGCACACAGGCACAGGGAGGAGATTAAATAAATACTGCACAACAGCTCCCAGAAACTGAACATCCACCTCTATGCCAAGCAGAAAAATAGCACTTTGTAAACATGAATGGAACTCCAGATGGATGCTTGACAAGTCTCAGTGTCACTCATACCATGTAAGTGCATAACACAATACGTCTTACACTTACTAGAGAAAGCCTTTCACAAAACTAATATTATTAATCCTAGATATCACCAGCCTTTACATGTTACAAAAGCTCATGAAAAGACTGGCTGTGAGGAGGATTCCTATCTCAAAAGCTGTAACACAAGCAATTAAAAAGATAAAATAAGAGGAATTCACCAAGCAAATTTAAACACATATTTTTATACGCCAGGACTACCAGAGTTACCAAGCACAGGATTACAGAGAGACCAGCTCCAGCTAGACATGAAATTTCCAATAGTTTAATCAAATTAATTTAAAACACTCAATGAGTTAATGCTGACTGGCTTAGAAGGGGCTATTTTTTGTTCACTTGACATAGTTTTAACAGACTTGCAATGAACAAATGTATTACCTGCACCAGTCAGTGCTCCCTTTCAATTGCATCACTGTTTTGATGTAGCACATACATAGCAGCAAGCACCCAATGTTTTATGACAACATCCTAAGTAGGAGTTAGGAATGTTTGGCCACCTGACTTGACAGCCTAAAACTCAGCCACAAGAATCAAAGCCATTTATAGGCTGTGCTACTAATTCACAATTTTTGATACCACAAAAAATTAACTGTATTCTACCAACTTTGCAAATTACCGCTCTAGATTGCTGTGCTCTATTAGCAGGCCTCTACCGTTTTAAAGCAACAGAAAAAAAATTTTGAGTGACAGGTCTCTGTACTTCAAATTTACAAATCCTGAAATCAGTCTTGTTTGTGACCTCTTACAAGCAGCCAACAAATGGCAGGTCCATAAAGCATCTAGATTCCTTACATCTAACAACAACGACAACAAACTGCAACTACTAATACACTTCTAAAAGCAGTAAAAGATGAAGGTCTCATTGTAAGCTTGAAGTATAAGCTTGAAGACTATTACAACAAAGAAGCTAAGATTTGTCTTGTTTACACACTTTTGTGAAGTCCTTAAGCCCCAATAGTGTGCAAGAAATTGATACACATTCACATGTCACTCCCCTCTTCTAAAGAAATCAGTTAAGTCTTTCAAGTTTTGGATGTCTTATCAATTACAGCAAATAATCAAACCAAGGGAGCATCTTAGAGCTAAAGATACAGACTTCCATTTCCAATGCACAATTTCAGAGGCAAATTGGTGGAAGCACGTACCTCAAATTATTCACTATTAGTTATGCTTTGGAATAATTTTCACATCATAGAAAGTATGAGCATCCCATCCCACAGGTGATAAATATATTATGACTGATGTTATGTAGAAGGGCAAGGCAAAAATCAAGAAATAGAAGATAATTATTCCAAAGTTTCACACAATATTGCCTTTCTTTCTCCTTATGGACTTCTTTTCATTATTTTTAGTTATTATGCATTCAATACGTTTTAACAGCAATCTTCTGACTTCCATATTAACTTTTTCTCAGAAAAGTCTTTGAATTCAGTTGTGGCAGTTGAATAAAAACCTTCAGTTCTGCTTTAATCTTTAGGATTAATTTCCATTTTATTTTTATGAAAGATAAAAAAATTCCATATATTAATTTAATAGTGATCTCCCACCCTGGGGCTTCAAATTAAGTGGATCTCTATGCCAAAAGAGCAAATCTAATATCTTGTTTCATTAGCTTTTAATATTGTTGAAAGCAAAACTCAGTCAAAATTAAACACAACGCTGCAAACAGAACATGAAACCCGGCTTGAGCTATGCTTTAAAGTCAAGAATAGTACGCTGTATTCACGAAATTAGTTTTCCTGAAGCATTAAGGACAACTGTTGCTTCCATTTTGTTTCAGGCTCAACAAATACCCATGTTGGTGTTTCACCTATTGGTAGAGATGCACGCTGAAGCTTAAATACGCAAAGAAATAGCAACACTGTAAACAGCCCGATGATTACAAGAACGCTTACTTTAACGTGTCAGACAAGCTACAGTAACAATGAAAACAAGTTGCCATTCCACGTCAGTGTTAATAATAATCCAAATCCGTATTTTCTATTTTCTCCATATATCTCTGCCCACTGGAAAAACATCTCTGTGTGCAGAAATGATTGACAGACTGTGTTTCTAAAGCAGACTGTAACGCCTGTTGTTTCCCTAGCTGGCTCCAGTTCAGGCTGTACCTTCTGACATACAGACAAGCCCACCGGTACAAAAGCACAGAGCTCCGAGCCGCAGCTTGGAGTTTGCGTGATACCACTGTTAAGTTGCTACAGTCGATGCTGTTCCCCTAGACAACCGCATTGTTCGGGAGGCTTAACGGGGAGAGACCGGACCGCAGCCCAAGCCACATCTGCGCACCGCGCTGCTGCGAGGGCGAGACCCCGAGCATCCCCTGCCCGGCTCCTCGCGGCCCCCGCCGGCCCTCCCCCGCGCACACCGAGCACCGGAGCTGGGCCCGGCCAGGGCCAGGGGGCGGCGGTCCCCCCGCGCGAGCTACTCGGGGGAGGTCAGCGCCGGCGCAGACAGGTACCCCGCTTCACCCACGGGTCAACCCGCCCGAAGCGAGCCCTGGCGGCCACCGCTCCCCGCCGCACGCCCCGCGGCAAGGCCCCGGCCCAGGCCCGGGGGTGGCGTAAGAGCCGAGGCTGCTCCCGCAGGCGGACACCCCAGCTGCACCAAACCGAGCAGTGCCCTGCCCGTTCCACCCGCGGCGGAACATCCCGCAGCGCTTCCCTACCCAGAAGCTCTCCACGAAGTACGCCATCATCAGCCCGCAGCCGGTGAGCCCGGTCCAGCCCCGGCCGCCGCAGGCGCGGAAACGCGACGGAGGAAAGGGGCGCCTCCGCGGCGCGCCGCCCTTCCCGTGACGGGGCAGCCACCGCCTTCTACACGGGACCGCCACCCGCGGCTCGCGCCTGCGCACAACCGCCGCCGGGCCCCAGCCGCCTGCGCAGGCGCACGGCGTGTGTGTGCGCGTGTGAACGCGTGTGTGAGCGCCCAAACACACACAAGCGCATGCGCATTGAGGCGCTGTGGTGGCGGCGCGGGCGGCGGGTGGTGTCCGGCGCCGCCGGCCCGCTGCGAAGGGCGGGGTGTGACCCGCTGAGGGGGGGACCCCGCGCTCTTGCAGGAGCACGGCCGTCGTTGGGCCAAGGACCTGTAGTAAAATCGTGTTCGGTGACCCGGGGTGCAGCAGAGCACAGGGGAGAGATTCGTGCTTTTGGAAGGGGCCAAGCGCCGTTCCAGCCAGGGTCGTTCAGAGCAGGTAGTCCTTCAGAACAGTCCTGCTGGGAGCCTTGTGGATAAACTGCATCGTATCCTCCCAGCTGCCTCCTCTCACAGGGCTTTACAGTCCCTGTGGCGTGCTCCTAAAAAAACGATGCTCTTCACCTGAAGCCAGAGAGCCTGGAGAAACTCTTTGCTTCAAGCGTTCCTCTTCAGTTGAAGTTCAGTTTCCAGACCCTCATTTGCTTGATGTATTAGCCTTTGGGATGATTCTGATGGCTGGACCAGAACACAGAGCTGCTCAAGTGCCGTCTATGGCCAGTTTGTACCTGACGTGCTGCTTTTCAGTGACAGGATCTCCATATACTCCTCATGGCAGAGTTGGCACCACTGGGCTCTTTCTGGGCTCCCCAAGAGTTCCTGTTCTACCTTGGTGGGATGATTTGTTGGCCAACACAGCACAGTAGTTAGGTTTTCATAATGGACTAAAACCAGAGGGCCAGGTTTCAGCAGTGATGTGAAGGACTGCAGCTTGTCATCCTTTGCAAACATGTGGTAAGCACTTTATCATGGCTTTGTCAGCACAAAGCTTTATCCAAGATACAAAAAGTAAGAAGCTGATGTTCTGTTCTGGATGTTCAAGGTCTTCCCTTCCCACTCATTGAAACCCTATCATTTCTGATTTGAAAAATCTTGCCTGCCTTAATACCAATGTCCTTTGGCCTTCATTCTCTAAGACACTGGGAAGGCATAGAGCAGAACACGGCATCGTGCAGCATAGGTACAGTTATATAGAAATCCACTTTGATAAGGATGATGATCAGGATCAGTAGCTGTGTTCTTAAGGCACACTGGAATTCCCCACAACAGAATTAACTTCTAAGGAGTGAACTTTAACTCCACATGCTGTCATAAAATGAGCACTACCAGCACCGAAGGACTGTTTTTAAACTTTCCTATCCTGCTTCATGGCAATCTTGTCTCTTACCCACCAAAGTAGCATATACTGCAAAATCCTTACCAAGGGCAGCTCTGTTAACCCATTCTTCTTTGGAAACTGGCCTTGGTAAGAAAATCCTAGATTACTGATCATCTTGTGCTGCTGGATATTATGTAATGAGCATGAATGAAGAATGAATCAGTCCATGCACTTTGCCAGTGCCATGGCAACATCAAGTCAGTGTTTCCACAGATTTTTAGTCATGTTTCTTGCATAATACCCAGCAGCAGCTTTTAGCAGATACCAGCACACAGCATCTCACGTTTTAATTTAAAATTCAGTGTAAGTACATGGAGTTGTGATGAGGAGGTGATTTTGTATGCTGTGTCAATATTGAGCCAGTTTATTCTAGAAGCTGACATACTCTAAGCAACATTCACATGAGGTCTTGAGGTTATGGGACCAGCTATATACAGTAATTAAAGGCAGGGATTGAAGCTCAGTCATATTCAAAACAAATTGTTACACATATTAGGAAAGGAAGAGAGAACTGCATCCAGTGTGTAAACCTGTGTGTATGGGCATCTGTACCATGAATGCTGCGCACAGTGCTGGTACCCCTTATCTAAAACAAACACACAAACAAGAACCCCAAACAAACCCCCCAAAATCCCCAACATCCCCCCACCAAAAAAAAAAAACCAAACCAAATCCAGCACCCCAAACCAAACCAAAACCACAAACCAAACAAAACCCCAACAGCACAAAAAAGGCTCAACACCACCAATAAAAACCAAGCCCCTCAGAAGACTGAGATAAAAGCCACAAAAAAGAATCCAAGATGTAGGAACTAACAGCCTCCAAGTAAACCAGAATTCTTCAGCCTGGAAAGATGACTGAGAAAGAATATGAGGTAGCGAGCTCACAAGTAAGACTAGAAGAGGTGAGTTAAAAATGAAAAATACCTCCTAGCGAAAGCCCAAGCTGAGAATTCAGTCAAGCTAGAACAAAGGGGAAACTGGACAAATTTTCTAGGCTTCCCTAGAAATTGTTAAAGGATCACTAAATACAAAATCAATGGAATAGCACTCATTCTGGAAGCCCCTTGGTCTGCAAGTTAGTGAAGCCTGTGAGAATACTTTGCAATAGTATCATTTATATACTTTAAGCTTATCCTCTTTCTTGGGTATTGGCTGCCAAGGACAGGACACTGGGTTAGGTAGACTGTTTGTCTTAGTACAATTGTTCCATTGTTCTCCTGGTGCAATGGGGGTGAACAGAAAGGAACAGTATTTTGATAGCCATAACCTCACATTTAATCCTGTATAATAGAACAAGCATTACCATTGAATATTTTCTGCAGTGTTCATGGAAGACCCATGTAGTTTCTGGATTACTGATTTTTTTTTAGTGGAGAGTTAAGAAAAAGCAATTCCTCTCCTGTTTTCGTCATCTACATGGCTGTAGATGAAGAATCACAACAACAAACCTCACCAGAAGGGTTTGAAGAACTTAAGAGACTTTTTGGCCATTCAGGTTAACAGTTATATTTCACAAATACTATCCTAATTTTTGAAAAATTATGCCAATTGTCATTAGTGTGGGTTGCATACATGTGAAAGGAGTTATTCAGTTCAGGGTTTCCCTTTCAGAAAAGCGTTCCTTATTCCTCAATGTATCCATCCTCCCATGTTTCCAGCTTCTGGTTTTATAAGTGTTAATATTAACTTATTTTCAGCAGTCTTCAAAAGGGTGTTCTTTAAAAGTTAAGTTCTTTTAAAGAGTGTAGATCATCTGAGATGTGGTGTTATATACACTAAGTTGTTAACTTGACAAATATGAGGCTATATGTACACTAAGTTGTTGTGTGACAAATATGAGGCTATATGTACACTGACAAATATGATGCTTATGCTATGAAATATATGTAGTCTACATTGCGTCTAGACTACAGGCATTAATATGATTGACAAATAAAGATTGTATATTTTATTTTTACTTGTAGTAGCTAAGTCAATTTTCCTTCTGTCTTAGACATTCAAAAATCTATTATGAACTCTAGGTAAAAGAACTGAATTTAGTTATTAGTAAAGCACTTGATACATGAGCCTACAACTCAATACACTAAATATTTTAAGGTGAACAAAAGAATAAAGAATCCAAATAATTGCCAAAAAGAATTTAGATAATGACATTACTTAATGTTATAATGAACTGCCAAAAAGCCAGTTGATATTTAAAGCTCTTAATTAATTAAACTTGAGTAAGAAACTGATTCAAGTAAGATAGATAATTTAACATTGCACTTTATTTTTAAAGAGAACCTAAAGAAGCAAATGGAGGTGGGGCCATTTTATACACCATATATGTATTTCATATATCGGATTGAGGATGTCGTGGAAAATGCATTTTCTTTCTTTACTGTCCTTGTTAAACTAACTACCCAAAGAAGCTTGATTGGTAAACAGGAATTTTTACTGCCAGTTGAGGTATGTTCTGAAGATTATGAGCACCAAAAGGAAATTAAAAAATCCAGAGTTTTTTACAAATGGGGATGAGGAAAAGGAAGATAAGTGAATTGTTAGCAAAGTCCCTTTCAAGAGTTGTTTAACTTTGGTATGTAGTCAGGTTACTTTTTAGGATTTAAAGCATATTTTAAAAAGCATTATGTTCTAACCAAGCAATTGTACGTGAACACATCCAGGCATTACCCAGAAGTTTAATAATTTACTTGCTCATGACCTACACGTTACCTTCATGACTGGACATTTATTGCAGCCTTTTTGTACAAAAAGTGTAATGAACTCCTACAGACAGAAGTTGAAGCTATAATAGTTTAGGAGAAAGATATATTTGAGTAGGAGAAAGAGATTATGAAATTAGCAGTAAATGCAGCTAGCTTGAAATATGTATTCAAAGGGTACTGACAGTTCTCCATCACAATCTTAAGGCAGGCTAAGCACTTTTTTTAAGTATATGTAAAAACTCAAATTGTCTGACAAGACAACACCGTTGAGATTATGGACTACATTATATATGTCTTATTTATTTTGGATTTATATTTATATAAATGGATTTATAATTATATATGGACTACGTTATATATATATCTTCTGGGTAGGATGGATGTTTCTAAAGTCTTCTCTGAGTTTTAGATAAGCAAAAATACTTGTGCACAGAGTTACAGGTAGCCATATTTATTGCAGTAATAGATCAGCTGATTTTTTTTCAACTTGGTGCAATACTTCATCAAAGTTCTGTCAAAGTTAGTGATGATTTCTGTGTTCTGTTGAAGATTGACAGCAATTTTTAATGACAATTTTCAAAATCCCTGGAACAATGTATGCCATTAGGCTGCTTTATCTGACTCACTATATATTTAAACGCACAATTCTACTGATCTAGTCACCAAGCTATATTGCATCCCATTCGTTACTTTGGTTACTTGAATTATGAACCCAACAGGATTGTTTCACAATGAGTCACTTGGAGCCAGTACTCCACCTTTATTACTTTTCTGCTGTGTTGCTTCCAAAAGTATGTTTTGTCAAATTAGCCTTCAATCATATAGAAGGATTAAAAAGCATTGATGAACATTAGTAACTACAAACTGGAATACTTTAATGGCTGTAGTTTGCATTTTGACTTTTGCTAGTCACACTCCAGGCCTATGAGAAAAATCCTGGGAGATTTCTAATATATTCAGAAGTTGCATTACTATAGAAACACTATACTGAGTACAGTATAGTGGAATAAATGGCACT